CGACCAGTCCAAGTGGATCACCTCCACAGGTGGTTTGAATATTCCGGTTGGATTGAAACGAAACCGACATTTCCATTTGATTTCCGACCGAAATTTCCGGAATTTTTAGCATCATGGTAGACACCCTCAGCACCCTTGGTTCAAACTTTCTCTCCTGAGACATAGAAGTTCATCTCTAATGGTAGTGCTTCAACAGAAAAAGCTGCGGTGTGGAAAAACCAAAGGTTCCTTCTTTCAAAGTGAATTTACAGAATTTACAGTAAATATTTCGGTTGGAAGGGAAATAGAAACTGTTGGCGTCGATGTGTACAGGAAGCTCCACTGCAGTTTGCGGTCATTTATTGTTTCTGCTATTTTACTTGCTGTATTCAGCAGCTGTTCTACTATTCCGTGAGATTCAAGGGATTTGATACTCAGTGGTCTCAGTGGAGTGCCAGCATTCTTTTGCTTTCGTACAGGTAATTTAGATAACATGCACTATAGATTATCAAAAACATAGTTAATGACAATACTTTAATTACATAAATGATCTCTAGCTAAGTGTAGAAGCCCGGGGGGTGGGGGACACTGCCATATATGGGCTATACAGGTATGTGCCGCTGTGAAGGGTATGGGTTTCAAGCAGTTTACTCTAGGATAGGGTATATAAATCAGAGCGTTCGGGTCTAGAATAGGGTATAATTTTTCACAAAACTGACTAGTTGGTTGAAGATTTTATCTAGACTAAGGAAACCAGGAATTGTCACTCAAAAATATAAAAAAATCAAATCGGCAAGTTTAAATTTACGCAAATCAGCCTCAACAGTGTCGATAGATGGGGGGATTTGGGGAGTTTACTCTAGTATAGGTTTGCAAAATTCAGCTGAACTAGCTCTGGTATAGGCCAACGGTTCCAGGGTCCCAGCGGCACACCCCCACCCAGAAATTCCCAAAGTACCTCCCCCCGGGTGTAGAAGGTTAGCTAGCTACCAAAAACAATTTAGAATTACAGTGAAAAATGAAAACAGAAAGCGTATAAATGCATAGAACAAATGCACCAGTATAAAAAAGAAAAATCGTCACAGTGGAAAGAAATCCAAACAGATTGTCAGTGGTTTCTTGAGGTTCTACGTGATGCCATTTCAGGCTACTGTTGAGCAGGTGAGGCGAACAACAAACAAACTGACTGACTGATTACTAACTGATACTCGTTGAAGATTACCACTTCTGATTATTAAAAGAACGAAAACAAGGTTCTTGGTTTTTTTTAGTTTTATACATCAAACGTCTTTGGTTTTTTATATACGCATTTAGAGTGTGTCATTGAAAAATGTGGTCTATTTGTTAAATTATCTCTTATCTAGCTTTATATGCAAGCTTTTTTCTGTTTGGGTTTTACATGGGTTAATCTCAAACGCGTTGTAATGTGAAAAACCCGTCAAGATGTTGACCTTCGAGCGCAGTGCTCGCTACCGAACACTGCCCTTGATGGCCAAAACTGAGTCAATTTTTCTATTTTTGTCTGTTCAGTACATTGATATCAGCTTTCCGTATGTTGCCCATTAATTAATTACCCCTTAAAAACCTCCCATAATTTCGAGTTACCTGAAGAGGTGCTTGCTCTATTATCAGTAGTCAAACTATACACAGCTACTATGCTGGGGCTTCATAATATTTGTTTCGCTTGGTTTTTTATAAGTTCTTAAGTAACGGCAATCCTCAAGACCATTCCAAAGCTTTTCTTTCCTGACTCTGTCCGTCATTGCTAAAGTCGTATCGCGTTTTTCCTTGATCTTGTTCTCTTTCTGCGAATGCAATGGTGGTAATCTAATGGGTGGAAGAACCTCAGATAAGGGTTTTTCTTTTGTTTTGTTCTCGTAGGAGTTTTCGTAAATGAAATTCTTCTGTGCTGGGGAGTTTGACCTTTTTGTAATAACCTTGTCGCGGTCTTCTTTATTCTCCAGACAGCGAAATTTGGGTCTCGCTGAACTTGACCCCCCTCGACACCGCTGCATGAGATCTAAGCTTAGATTTTCTTCACTCACCAAAATTCTTCGCATGTGAGGAAGACCGCTAAAGGAAACGGTTGCGGTTTCACTGCAATAGGTGCCAGCGTGCTGAGAAATGCATGTTTCTTTGTTTTTAGAGTTGTTTTTCGCTGGAATAAACCACTGCAGGTCCAAATAGCCTGAACGAAAAGGTAACAGCTCTTGTGATGTCTTCCAGCCTGAGTTCATTGTCAACAGTCTGTCATGGATACCAACTTGTCCTGAAGAATGTACTTTCCGAATTCTAAAATGATGAATGATTATGTCTTTTTTAGCCTTCAGAAACTTTTTTGTCTCAGCCATCCGTTGTTTTTCTAAGTTCCAGCGCACTTTTTCGAGCCGTTTTTCTTCATGAGTATTCAGTGTAAAAATTCTCCTTGCCTTAGGACTGTCCAAACTGAACGGGATATCTGTGTTCACGGCGCTGGACTTCACCATATGACATTCCATTGGTTTCAAAGGTTGCTTAACAGTCAATTTGCAGTGAAACTGTGAATTACTGCAGGACTGAAGTTATAACTGGATGTATGACTTCATCGTAAAATGCAAATCGCTATCTGGCAAAAGAATAACATGTTTGAGTTTTGCCCCACGTGACCTAAAAGTCACATAGACTCTGCCGGCTCCATGGCGGAAACCGCAGTTTATCGCTCTATTTATAAACAAATCAATTAGCCCAGCTAACACTCACTCCAACAAATAAAAAAGATTCTCATTATACTTTCAATAAGCTTTAAGGCAAAATATCCAGCCATCTTTATCTTTTGTGGCTCTCGCGTTGGAGATAGGTCTAAATAAGGCAACGTCAGTTTCATAGATGTTACATTGACGTGAATTGTTTTTTCGCATCTTGTAATGTTCATTTTTTAAAAGGAAGTTGGATAGCGGCAATGTGTCTTGAACGGAAAATACACCTAAGAAGATGTCGAACTGCCATAGATAAGCCTTGTAAACAAGTACAAAAGAAAATAATAGAGAACGAGAGGGTAATACCACAGTCAACAACTTCAAAAGAAAATTCAGAACAAAAAACAGGAGAAGAATCGATAGGTATACACTTGAACTTCTCTGTAAACGGCCGTCGTGGGACATAAGTTTCAGTGTCAGTAACAGTATGGAACGGCTTGACGCCTGGATGAAAACTCCGGCCCGTTGTCAGAGGTGGCTGCTATAACGAGGAGTATCGGTCGGTCGCAAAGTGATTTTTCCGTTAATATGTGATGTCCACCTCCATGTAAACAACAACCTCCATTTGGCGCAAAAAATATGCTCGGATATTTGTCCGGGACATTATCTGCTCCGAGAAGCGAACAGTTTTCCGAGAGTGTTGCTCGAGGAAAACCGTGAGCTTCCGCGAGGAACAGATTATGTCCAAGGACGAATATTCGAGCATACTGTCGCGCCAAATTGAGGCTGTTGTGCTTGTTATCCATCAAACATTTTTCGCAACGCGCGCCGTTTTGAAAACATTGGATAATCAAGGGTATACTCGCACTGAATTAGCAACATGAGTGTAATTAATGCGGAAATAAAGAAATAATGGAAGGTACAAAGCCAGAATCAAAGCCGCCGATCAGCACCGCCAGCTGGAGAAAGGCTACCGGATTTACCTGACGATTAGATTCAAATCAGCACCAATTTGTAGATGTGTTTTTGATAATGAGACAAAAGCTCATTTCCTTTTATATTGCACTTTGTTTCCTACTCCTAGAGGAAATTTGTTCCCTGGCGCTGCTCGCATTGTCTCTAAAGTGCGAAGGAATTGCTGATACTTTCGGACTCTGAAAAAGTGGATTTTATTACATGTGTGAGAATTAAGGACCTGTAAGCCCTCGAGATGAGCCCTTTTGAGCTCTTAGGGCAGATATATACCATGTAAAATATGGTTCGATAAATAAAAAAAAAAAAATGAAAAAGCTAAGTTGACCTGTCCAAGGTTTAAATGTTGATTGAGCTCTTAATGCCTAAAGCAAGTGTACGAGAAGGTGTTCCGGTTCACACGGGTATATCTTTTGCGGTATCCGTTTTGTTATCTTCAAAAGAAGATTGCACCGTGTGTAGGTCTTGAAGCGTTTTGGTAAGGCGTGCCTTGATAAGTTTGTTAAAGATAATTAACTCATCCGGTAGGTAATTAATTGCATGTTAATTAACTATTGTTTAATAATACTTCAACAGCGATCAGGCGTTCTTGTTACTTTTCGTCTTTTTCGCGGCTTAAGTTTTCGGCTCATTTTTCCTCTTTCCCACTGCCGCGAAAAAAATAACGCCTGATCGCAGATTATTTAACACGACCTTGTAGATATTTTTCCTGTTTTATTAGTTTTCCCTAAGAATTAAATTAATCTCGGAAACTTTTACTATCTATATTAGCGCGTTTTTCTAAGTGACTCCTGTAATATGTTTTCTTTTTGCCCCCACAACCACAGCCGTAAAATGGGAAACCGGGCTCAAATGAAGGTGATAATAAGTTCACTTTGTATAAAAGTTCCGAGCTCTGCATAGCACATAGTCGTTATTTTATAGGTGAAAAAAAAAACCCACACATTGCGTGACAACTCAAATAACGGGTAACACGTATGTGTAAGATTTTACTGTAACCTGACCGGAAACCGAAAGCAGTCTAAATAATTGTCTAAATTGACATTTATTTTTGCTCGACATGCTCTCTCGTCTGAAGAGGCTCCCTATATGGGAAATTGAATAATAATACTCGAACTACCAGCCTAAGGTCAAGAAGTTTTTACGGTCAAAGCAGCACGAAAGAGGCCTCCGCGGAGGAGAGGGAGCTCGACATGCACTTCAGACAAAAAAGTGTCTTCGTAAGGCTCAATTTCGTGTCTAGTCTAGTTCGGGGGAGGAGCGCGGGCTCCTTTCTCGAACAGCAGCTCGTAATCGAGCCTGTCTGCGTGGAATATGCGTGGAATATGATCAGTTTTCCCAGTGGATTATCTCTAACACCAAAGAGCAATAAATTCGCCAAAGAGAAAAGTTTATTTTCCTAGACAAGATGACTTGCAACTTAAAAAAAATGCTCAAAAAATAAAGTAATCTTTGGATAAAGTTGTCTTCCTACATTCTTCACACAATGAAGTAACAAGCATCAAATGTTCCTCTCATATCAAAAAGAACTGAACAAATAATCCGCCCAATAAATGACAATTTCATCAAGCTATTTCAAGACATCTTGTCATGCAATCGAAAGTAATAATTCCACGCTCACATTCTGATTTGAAAAGTTCCTTTTTGAACACCACCTTGAGGGTGGGATCACTTTGACCGACTTTCAAGTTTTCAAAATTAGTTTAATCTGTGTGCGAATGAATGGGTGTATAAGAGATACAGTAATAGCCCACGTATAAGAACCTGGGTTTTTAGAACCTGTTAGGCTAAAATTTTCATTTTAAGCCCCCTCCACATGAGAACCTAGTAAGGCTAACATTTTAAGTTAGGTTCTTATCAGTGGGGTTGCTGTAAAAGTGTATAGGTAGAAACTGCTGAATTAAGATCATCATCTATTTAAAAGTAACTTGACATAACTTTTTTTTTTTTGCCTTCAAGCTTAAGTACCATGTTGTATGTCTGTTGTGTTTGCCATTCTATGGTACAAATAAATGATTTATACTGTATTATGAGATGATATTTATAATACATATAGTATATTCAGATGAAATTCATATGAAAATATGAAGAACCTATTTTAAGAACCTTGGTAGCCTGAATTTGCTTTAAGTACCATTTATATAAGAACCTATTTAGGCTAAATTGAAAATTTCAGGTTCTTGTACGTGGGCTATTACTGTATGACAAATAGTTAGGTATATACCAGTTAAGAGCTCTATTGAATGGGAAATTTTTCAGGAAAATCCTGTCAATTTGGAATCTTAAAATAAATAATTTGAGTTTGAATTTGATTCATGAAAAACGCGTCGACAGTAAATCGATGGCTTTCACTATTTCTTCAAGCCTGGAGGCTGGTCGATGAATGCTTCCGTTTTTTGAGCACGTCCATCATTTGTGACCACGTGATATAGGTTGGGCTAATTCAACGATCCTTTGAGATGCGTTAGCTTTTCTCGCAGTTTCACTAACAGTGAATGCATCTGGGTTAAACTGAACATGATCCATTGTTTCTCGTATAATAGGCTTGGACAAATTTTGCGTCCTTTCAGAGGCCATCGCTCTTAAAGTGCTCTTACTAACAGGCCACTCGGTCTCTCTGGACGGTAAGTACCCTTCCACTGTCTGCTTAGGCTTTGCAAGTTCCTGAACTCTCGCTGATGCCACAGTGCGTCTACTCGCTGACGACACCCGCCATGTTGGCTCCCTGATGAGCCCATCTTGGCGCGTTTTGGGACGTGCGAGTTGTTCGACCCGCGCGGAGGACACAGCTCGTTTTGCCGGTTCACTGACGATCCACGGCACCTCGCGCTCCGGCTGGTAATGAGGATGACATTTCTTAGCCTGTGCAAGTCTCATGGATCTTTCCCGCTCTTCTACCGTCTTGGCTGCCTCGCTCACCTGCCAAATGGGAGAACTTCTTCCACAGCTGAAGATATAAGCTTCCCTATAGAGAAGAAGATGAAATCATTGCCCGGCTCACTATTTACATGTAAGTTTCAAAACTTCTTTAGCGTAAAGCAGGATCACAGACCTCTAATACTCTGTTGATAGAAGAGAGTGTTCTCTTATAGCCGGTGAGCAGGCTCACCTTTTAGTCACGCGCGCGAGCGGAGAAGAGCAAAGCGATCCGACGGGAAGGAGTCTGATGAAGAGGCGCCAAGAAAGTGAAAATTGGCTGGCTTGTTTTTTCTGCGGTTGCCTGGGTGGAAACGAAAACTTTGCAGAGATCAGAGCAGGCTCACTTTCTCGTCTCGCGACTTCGCCGCTCGATTTTACCCTCGCAGGCTAGTTCTCTGAGGGAACCCATAACCAAGTGAAATCTTTGTGGCTGTATACACACGGAATTTTTTCAGTTTCTATCGCCCCAGTCACTTCGAAACCATTTGTTTCAAATAACCAAGTAACTGAATGATCAGATTTCAGATTATTATAATTTGCAGTATTTACAAATCTTACACTGATTAAATTACAACATCAACAAGGAAAATATGAAAATGATAAAAAAATAACAAAAATCTACAACTAAAACCAGTAGCGTCCAAATTTTAATCTAAAGTCGAAAATGTTGAAGGGAGCGATGAAACTGATTTTCCGACAGTTTCTTTTTGCAGCAGGAAGTCTCTGAGAGCCTGCTGCTATTGACTTATAGCAGGTGCCTGTCCAACCACTCAGAGTTCAAAACACTTGGCCATTTACCAACTTGAAAATGATAAAGGTAAATTGACTACCGTGGCAAAATTGTGAAGCTGACCGCGTTTCAAACGGTCTTCCCTCAAAACAAAGGGACGATGAGTTAAAGCTCAAAACGTCAGCTTCACCGTTTCGCTAAAGCGAAGGGTTTTTTCCGCCCGCGCAGCCCAAAAGTTCTTTTTAGAAACTTATATCTTTGTTCAATCGGGGTTCAATCAGATTTCGAGTTTCCCGTAGAGTTATGCTAAAATTGGTTTTGAAATTACCAAAGAATGTTTTTAGTTAAGGCCCTTTGCGCGTTTCAGTCCAAAGTGTTTGAGGCGAATACACAGAAATTCCACGTTCAATGCCAGCGAAGGAACTTCTGTAATTTTACAGACTAAAGATTGCTTTATTTTCCGTGATCAAGCTATAAACTTCTTTTGCTTCCGAAAGGGATTTCTAGGTTCAAATTGCCGCGTAAAGCAACCAATCACAACACGCGTATTATCAAGTCTTCACTACGCTTTTGTTTTTAATCTTGTCTGTGGTGTTTAGGTTTGCATTACTATTTAGTTTATGCAAACTATTTCCTGAGTCTATTTGTCTAAATGCTGCTATTTTCCCTTTGTCTATCAGTGTTGTTAATATACAACGTCTGTTTTATTTTTTGGTCCGTTGGCTAATTTTTCTATGCTCGACTGCAATCGGTTGTCAAGCCGATTACCTTGTTAGCCGAGCACTTTCCAGCTGCTGGTAGGATGTAAGCCAGTTTGATTGAAGCCCACGAATGTCTGTTACAAATTTAGAAATAGAAGAACTTGAAATACAACCGCTTAAAGACTGACTAAAATGTTTGCAAATTGACAAACTATACACTGGATCGAAAACATGAAGGCATAAACAGGTGCTAGATTAAAGAAAATTACCATTAATGATCGAGTCGAATCGTTTGTAGTCTTTGTACTGAGGCAGTTTGTTTGAATGACAGTTTGAAAGACCGCATGCTTTACACAGCAAAACGTACTCTGATAGTAAATTCAGAATACTCAGTTCAAAGAGAAACTAAACAACTCTACCTTTGGAGATTCTCACATCTGTAGACAAGTTGTCACTTCGCTTTTAACTGTCTTTCCCGTGTTAGATGAAAGAAAGATTTTCTGCCCGATGTGTTTGTAACAACCGGGTCATGCACCACTTAGCAACTCGACAAGCGATGAACTTTTGAATACCGCAAACATGTCACAGCGCGCATAATCACACATACACGCATGCTTGATAATGCTCAAGTTCAAAACAAATGTAAGGTGCTAAACCTCGTTCGTAAGTTAATGAAATGACGCCTAACTTGCTCATTATGACAACTTTGGTGACCAGAATTCGCGGTTTGGCTAATTGTAGCTTCTTTTGAATAGTCGCAATTACCACATCATGAAAGTGTATTCAAATTGCTCAGAAACCAACCATGAAAGTTATTGTTTATGTTTAAAATAACTCGGACCTCGGACAAAACTCATTTTCAATAATAAAATTAGAATATAAACCCAAGTCAACAGACAATTTAGATTGAAATCGAAGGAATGAATAGCGTTATCAGACTAAAATTTCAACAAATCAAGCTGTGAATGGAGTTCTAACAAGGTACATTACGTCAGCGTGAGTATTTTGTATGTCGTTACTGCGGACCTGCGTGACGTGAAAATGCGTACTTACCTTTGTTCTTTATGATCTGGCGGTAACTTTTTTGGCTCTGCCAACTTATTGACCCTTGCGGAAATATTAGTTTTCAAAGCCAAAGGTTGCACATTCCAGATAACAGACTCGCGACCACAGCTGTAAACATATTCCCCTCTACGAACAGAAAGAGAAATATTTATTTAAATATCACTGGACCCGCGTATGCAAGTGTGGTACTTCCAAACGCCCGTGTCCCTCAACCAGCATTCTCGTCCCCAGTAGCAAAAGAAATGGAGAATGCTGTTGCGGACGTGACTGCTTGGGTAAGTAGGTCTGAACGACACTTCGGGCAAAATTGATTTCATGCAAGTAATGTAAAAGAATCCTTTTTATTTGTCCAAACAATATTCATCAAATGACTTGTGTCTTAATGGTTTTGATTATTTGGAACCTCATTGATTATCCGCACTGGGAAAAATTTTCAAGATAACTGCATTTGTCCTAAACTAGGTGTATTTATTTTTAAAACAAAGACAAGAAAGCAATTCAGCGACTTTCGATTGTTAAAATTTTCATGACTTGACATGATCGCATAGCGTGCTAAGTGTCCAGCCAAAAATCACAGATGCTTTCACGGTTCGCTTCCAAAGTTAAGTCTGTTGCTCTTGGTTATTGAATTCTGTTTTTGTACCTGTTACAGCTGAGTGGGTGATCCAGCTGGAAATCTTTCTTCGGCGTTGCTAGGGTCATTAATCTCTCTGAAGAATTTGCCGAGAGCGCTGCTCTGGAAATTGGCCACATCATATCCTGATTCCCCCACACAATCGGCCTAAAACAAGAATTATTCAGTTAATTAATGTTGGCTAAAACAATTGTACGCAATTAGCACTCTAGTTACGCTCTGAAAAGTTAATCAAGAACCTTGTGTACAAAAGGCAAAATGGAATTAGCTCACTTACGACCAGATAGCTTACTTAAAAATTGCGTTACTTTAATATCCTTTAGTAAAACTATGATAGTAGAAGGTTAGGTGCATAACGAAGAACCTAAGAGGAGCTGAATATTCCCTATCCCCCTTTCAGAAGAGGAATGACGAACCTTTTCTCTCATTTCCAGTGCAGATCGGAAACCTGGTGTGCCGGATCTGATTACAATAACCACAGAAAAAAAATTCGGTGATGGTTTTCACCCTTTGACTGAGTAATTCAAATACTTACCAAAAACTTGTCATCCATACAGCTTTAGATTCCTTAGGCTTTGCCAGTTTTACGAGTCGAGTTCTGTTTAAGATAAAACATCATTAAAATTTCATGATTTCATGAAACAAGGACATCGAGAGGACACGAATGAATTGAACTTACAACAAAACCGGCAAACAGAACTTACATCCCGGTATCCCGTGTGGCTTCTGCGAAGGTCGGAAGTGGATGGTTTACTTGAACAACTAAGGAAAGAGAAAATATGTTAGGCTTGGAAGACTTATTTCTCTCGATGCAGGTCTTGAAAACTGGTTTCTCGCTCCCTGGGACAGCCATTCACACTCACATGCAACTTCTGTCATGTTTACAACAGCGACTTCTTCGACTGAAGCTTTCAAACTGGAGATAAGGGTAAACAGCAAATGTTCAAGTTAAGAAACCGTGGTCTCCCAGTTAAAGTTCTAGCATTCACACTTTATAAGTGCGAATTTCCCTGGTTGTGGTTATTCCAATTCTCTCGGCCCGATGTGCCAGGGTTTAATGATTACATTCAACAAGGCGTCGTGTTGTGTTCCCATAGAAACCCTGCCGCAACGTGGTGTTAATTAACGTTGTCCTACTGTGTAGCCTTTTCTGGAATATGATTGGACAACCAGAAGTCCAGTGAGGTTTCAATATCCTAATGAGTTTGTCTTTGTTTTTTCTGTAAGCCCAACCAACAAAGCACGATAATTATATGTTGATCCTAGAAATTGTTATTCAAACAAACTTGCAAACATGGCTTTGTTTCGGGACTATCGGAAAATTTGTGCACGCTAAGTTTCTGGTAAAGACTCCCTTTCGAGTTTTCAGCTGACATATCATATGTACCATGTATACTGTTAAAAATGATAAATGCAGCGCAATTCGAAAGCATGGAGAGACGGTCATGATGAATCATCATAAATTAATCAGTTGAGTTGAAAACATGCTAAGAGGTAAAGATAAAATGCGTTGGTTATAAAATATGCAGTGCGGGCCTAATGGTATTCAAAATGCTTTAAACTTTGTCTAGACTGCCAACCCGGGATCAAGCCGGCAGAGCAGGTTATGAAAATAAAACATTTGCGGTTAGGAAACAAGAAAGTAAATTATTAAACATTGTATATTGCAACCCAATCAGATTTCCTCTTGTTCAATCTAAGTACCAGGAAATCACAGTCATTAGTGTGTTAATCCGACCACGTATTCGTTTATCAAAAACAGGCAAGTAAATTACACCGATAATGCACAACTGTTTTTACTTTGGAAGATTCAAATCGTCTTGCAATGACCCTTCGGCAAGCACTGAGCAAGCCTGGTTCTGACTGGTAGTGCAGCAATACTGGGAAAACTGCTATCACCCAGGTTAAAGTTCAAGTCCTCACTCTTCGGTTTGAGTGTGAAAGCCGTTGGTTGTGGTTTTCCAATTTCTCTGAGCCTGATGTGCCAGGATTTACTCTTTTACTCTCGACAAAACGTCGTATTGTGTTGCCATAGAAACCTTTCCACGATGTGGTGCCACAACGCTGGCAGACTCCTTTAATTTAGTAAGCACTACTTTTTTAAGAAAGAAACGCTTGAATCTACCATGTGAGCAGAGTCGTTTCAATCTTTCCTTCTTCTTTCCCGACTTATCAAGGAAAGATCGAAGCGACTCTGCTTTCAGGGTAGCTTGAATCACGTTGTATAAATAGAACTTGGCGTAAACTTTGACCGATCGATTTTCTCCTCGCTGGCTACCCGAAAAATAACTTAATCCGGTGTAATTAGTTTGTCGTTGTCGTGATTTTCGCGAGTTTATTTTCAAGTGTAGGGTGTGCAATACTGGCACAGTAAATCAATATACCGCTGAAATATCCGTTATAAACAGTACAGCTTGCGAACCTAACGCGAGTGCTTGGTTTCAGCGGAGGAGTAGCAAGGCGAGCGGCAAAGTTACAACGAAGTTGACCTGACTCTACTCTTGCGGCTCCACCGCCCTTTGTGTTAGGTACTCTCTTTATTTCGCCGCTTATGCAAAGCGCTGGTCTGCAAGTGATATCCCGCCAGCCACTCAGGCAATAAACAGTGCCTCAGATTCAATATATTACTTTCAGTGACTTCAGTGCTTAGGACATTGTGGCGACAGGTTCTCTACTCTTCGTTCTTTGTTCCAAAAGAAAATGGGTAGGTCGTTATTGACCTAGAAATCTCCATTTTAGAGAGCAGTGAAAAGATAATCCCACTGAAAAGATAAAACACTAACAGAACTTCTCCATCCTCCTTCGTTCTCGATTTTGTTGTTTACAATCCTTGCACTACATAAGTGACAGAAACTAACTTACTTTGTGGTAACTTGAGCTTTTTCTTCTTCTTTGCCCGTTCGATTTCTAAAAAAATTGAAACACGATTGGATTTGTGGGATCAGTCTTTAAATTTCCCATATTTTCATTGTTCGGAGATTGAGCAATACTTGCATTTTTCCCTCACAAATCACTTCCTTTTGATATCTTACTGTTTACTTAATTTCGCGAGTCTTTAAGAAATTTAAACACGTGAAATTTAACACCCATATAGAAAATTCAAATCACAGAAAAAAAAAAAAGATTAACATGTAATAACAACAACATATACAGGATATGTATCGACAAATACACAAACTATTAACTGGTTTTACTGGTAAGTTCCATTTTGTATCTTCTGTTCTGAAATAACGTTAATTTGCAAAGATGGAGTAATCGCGAAATTAAGTACCAATAAGGTACACTATATATTTTATTTTGTTAGCAAAATTGATAAACGGTATGATATTTGCATATGACTTTCCATGGTATAAACTTCTCAGTGACACCCCTGCCGTGTAAACAATAGACGCTCCTGTGCGCGTGTGGACACTTGGCGATTTCTTATTTCGGTGAGGCATACTTAAGACAAAATCTTTTTAAAAGAGAAGAATTGCCGCATGTTCGAGTGCGGTTAGTCAACTGATTTTGCTTTGTTAAAATTGCAATATGACCACATAACTTACCTTTTGGTGTTACAACCTTTACAGAAGATAAATAGGGTGACTTGCCACTGGATGACTCTGACTGAGGTCTAATGGCTGGTAAACGAAGCTGTTCAGATTCAGAATCAGTTTGTTTTTCTTCCTTTACAGGGAAGTTTCTCTTTTCACTGGCTCTAGATGAAGGGATCCTCCGAGGTTCCACTGGCTCTGGTTTGTGTTGTTTAATTTCTTTCTCTTCTTCCTTGTCAGGACTGGAGGATTGGGGACCAACGGCAGTGCTTTCTCCATCTACATAGTGAATTAAGACAGTACTCACTGATCAGTTGTTTTAGTTGGATTCTCGTTAGTTTGAGTAACTTCTGATGGAAAGGCAGCTGTAACCAATCGGAAAGAGGATTTCATTTTAATGGACTAGTCGCATTAAGCGCGGGGTTATGCCATTGTATTGTTTGTTAAACCGAAGTTTTTGGTTAATTTCTTTAACCAGGTTTATTTTCCGTTGCCAGCTTACCTGATTTCTTTAATTCTTGCGTGAAATAGTAGGCTGCAACTGAACGCAGTTGTCAAAAAGACCTTGATAGGTACATGGGTACGGAGTTTGCAAAGCTTCACTTGTTACAGACAATGTTGTGCAAAAAAATCTCAGTTTACATAAAATAACTGATAAGAAAAACTATTTTCTCAGTTAAGTTTTTTGAGTTAAGAAAATTTAACTGATTGCTAAACAAACAATTGCATTTCAAAAAGGAAATATAAATACCTTCCGGTTTTATGTTGTCGTTTAAAGAAAATGTTATTGTCGTCATGTTAGATGCCGAGGTGTCACTTGTAACCTCTTGAAACGCTCTTTTTGTTAGTTAGACTGGAGGCGAACTCTTCGTAAACATTCAGCACTGTTACTAGCGAGGCTAGCCATCTGGCTAATCCACATAAACCACAGCTTAAAGAGTAAATTGAAGTTAACATTTCGTAGTGTGGGTCTACGGGTGGTTTATTTTGAACACCAGTGCTCCTCAGTTTGCGTTCATTTACTCCAACGCTTCTTTTATTAGCGTTTCCATGGTTACGTGTTTAATGCTTAATCTACAAGAACGATCTTTTCTTCTGATTTTGTCTTATTTCCTCGGAAAAGGACCTAATTTCTAAGTGTTTGAGGAGTTAACCTTACACTGAATGTTTAACTTTCGCTATTGTTACGTTTCGTGCGAGTCGTTTACAGGTATCTCATGGTAAAACCTAATATTTTAGGCCTACAACGTGGGCAAGTCATCGCAATATCCAATTATATACACTACATGAATCTTTTCCTGGCCTTCGGTGACGAAGGAAGCGACGCGTTCAATACTAGGGCAACTGACCGGAGTTTTCTAAATGCTGTTCATTCCAGGGGAACAGCGTGCCGGGTAGTTACTGTGTCAACAGTCAAATAAGCTGAGGCGGTGGTATATCTTGTAGCCAGCAGGCTTAAGCACCCAAAAGCCATTTCTATCGACTACTTTTTCTTGCTATAAACTGGAAGAGTAATTAAATCTTTCTCAGTACTGGTCCATACGCCAACTCATGATTGCTAACTGACGCCGGCTAAAGTCATACGGAATGACCCTAACTTGAAAGCGGTCGAACTTATTTGTCCCGTATATTTACTGGTGACTTTTGCAAGTGATGGAAAATAAAATTGCTTTGTACATTTACTAAATATCTCCATAAATTGCTGGAATCTCTGTTCGTAAAGTAGATAAAACTAAGTTAATGACATAGAATTACTGGAGCACAAATATTGGTTTGTGGTTAACCTACCATAGTTATTTTCGACATCCTCAACTTTTATTTCGTCTTTTGAAGTATTTTCTCGTTGTTCCATAACAGAAACGTATGTTCTCCTTCATCAGCCCTCAACTGTGTCAGGCACATATAAGCTTCTCACTCATGAAGTGAATTTGTATGAAATCTTAGAGGCCACTAAAGCACGATTGAAAACTGACCAATAAATATTTGATGAGTGAAACTTTCTGTCTCTGTATGACTATTAATGAATTAGCGCTGCTTACAAAACATCTTGTTATTATTTGACTTTTCTAACTAACAGTTATTACACTTTCCTTTCAAATGGAAAACACTCTCTATGCCTCTGTCTCTCGTTTTGAATGCAAATGAGAAAATTTTCATAGTTCTGCCATATATGTATAATAAACTGTAAACAATAAGAACCTGCATTAAGTAACGTTTGAAGTAATGCATACATGAAGCTGCTGTTTGGAAATAAAGGCGTTTTGATCATCGTAGACACCAGACAATATATCTACTGCTTTGAAGTTACAAGTCTTTTCGTGTAAAATTCGTTGCCAAGGGGACAAACTCAGTTAATTTCCTCATGTTAAATTTTTAATACCTTTTAACAGCATTAATATTTGATACCTTGAGTAACTTCCCATAATTAACTAATTCATTTCAGATTTTCACAGTTTTAATGTACTAGTGCCAACAAATTGTCAGAGTAGAGTAGATCTTCAACTGCAATATTGACTTTGTAGCGAGCGCTGGATTACATCCTAAAAGATATGACAATTGTAAAGTAATATTTTTTTAACAATAAGGCACTTAAATTTTCTTAGATATTGATAGTGTGTAGCATCGCCGTATATCTGCAGGAGGTATGAAGTATTTTATTGAATCTGAAAGGCGAGTCAAAGTATAGCAACGCATCAGTCAATTCCAGCAGTCCCCATCCCCCTAGCAAAAGCTCGTCATTTGCTCACGTCTTAATCCCGGGGATAGGGCATTTGATATTGTATTATTGTCCTGGGGCCGGGCATTTGCCTACCCCCTGGGCAACCCAGAACTTTTGACATCCTTGTGGTTTTGATCTCCCATGAGGCGGAGAACCCCAAAATTATATTGTTCTTTATTTGTTTCACCTCCTGTTGATCACATATGGCTCAAATTAAATCTATATCAGAAGTCTATTGAGCTTCTGACTTTACACAACATATGGATTCAAAGCTACAATGGTAAAGCTAAATGGATAGTGGCCGTTTATAAGGGGCTGGCTGCTTAAAAGAGGTTAAACAATAGAAAGCCCACCTATCGGGATTTTGATTGCTAGCCGCCTAATAGGGGTGGCCCTTTAATAGGTGGCCGCTTAACAGACCGGGTTCGACTGTAGCTTGTTAGTAAAGGATCAGACGTCTTATATTTTAGCATTGTACAAACTAGCATTGAACAGTGCGTTTGAAAATGAAATACCACTGTAATAGTTTAGGAAATAATAAACCAGAAGTAGTTAACAGGTATTGTTATCGTGGAAATTTTTACACGATGTTAAGACCAAAGTGTGAACAAAACAAACAATACAAAATAATATTGGTGAATAACGCCTTTTCGCTATGATTTCATCCGGGGCATTGACTCGCTTATTTGTCCCCACTTTGAGGAATTTGCCAGTTTTTGAAAAAAAATAACACCAACAAACCTCAGGGGAAAGGGCACTTCTGGAACTGAGTGATGCATAAATAATCATCTAAAATGTACAACAAGACTGAGAATTATTATCCAACATTACTTTCTTCGAAACCCTGGCTTTCCACGAATTTTGTATCTTTCGCGCAGTTAGAGGGGATAAGGGGACTACTCCAAACCTGCTCAAGTGACCTCGTGGGGTACAAATATCGTGAAATGTTTGTACTTGTTTCGCGCATTATTTGTACCACACTAAGTTGAATATTACTGATATTTACCTGTACTTGATAGGCTCGATCTGGAGGTGGGCCGTGCAGACTTAACACTTGAGGCTGCTAAACTAAGGAAACTGCTGTACTCTGTTACGACAGATCGAAGGCTTGGACTGCGCTGAAGAATCACACTGAAAGGAGTTCCAGGTGCGAGGAGCGAGGCTCCACTGGACACGTGATCTCGCCCGCTCTGATAACCAGCATATCTTTTAAGTAGCGGTAATCTGGCTTTTCGTGACGCTAGACTCGCCTTGCTAGATGCACTAGAGGAAGCAGGTTTCCCACTTTGTCCAGTTTGACTTGATTGTAAAGATGACATTGACAAAGCGCTGGACAGAGAAGAACCACGTTTATTCATAATTTTGTTACGTCGACGCGAATTTGAATGCGCACTCGATACAGAACTAAGAGATGTTTCATTTCTTTGTCTCTGTGGGCGTTCCTTCAGTTTTCGAACTCGTTTCCGTCTATTTGTAAAATCAATGTCATCGTTGATTTCCGTTCCTTTCTGCTTTATAGCTTCTCTATAGTCGTTAGCTTCCGCGGCCTTTACGCTCTTCTTCCTAAGCCCAGACCTACTCGCTGATTTGTGTATTCCTCTTTCCATCTCAAAATAAGACATCACGGCTTGTTTGTTAAGGTCTGGAACTGATTTTACATGTGTTGTGTTTGGGCGTTTTATTATTGAACGAGTACTCAATCGAGAAGCTATTTGACTACGACTCGCAGCTCGTACACGTAACAGTCCTGGTTCAAGCGTAAGGGTCACGTGACGTTTACCAGTTTTTCGCAAATCGGGAACAGATTTACTTGAAATATTTTTACCGATCACTGGCAAATGTGGCACTTGAGAACGAGATTGTGGCTTGTTCCTGGGAGTCTTTGCTCGCGTGTTCTGGGAAGTTGACTCTTTTTTGGCAGGTTTTCTAAACATGTGACTCGTCTCTGGCCCTTCGCTAATACTGTATCCTGCTGCACTGTAATTACTCCATCTTGACCAGTTTCTCGTGGCCACATAAGATCCGTTGCTTTGCGCACTTGTAGTACCTTTCTCGCGCATACTCATCGCACTCGCATTTGATTGGCGACTTGGTCCATAAGACAATTCTGATTCAGTCAATTTTGCTCCAAGCTTCTCGCGCTCTTTTTCTTTCTTTGTTGCCATTTTTTTCATGCGGTACTGATTCATATTCAAAACATAAGAAGGCGCTGAGCTTGCATTGGAGAATGCACTTCCTTTTCTCGCTGTCTTGGTTGTTTTAATAGTGTTTGTGGACTCTGGTCTGCTCTTCACTGAAGCAACTGTTGGGATGCTGCTCACGCTCGCATTTATACTGCTAGTGTAGTGTGTTCGAACTGTTGTAGGAGTTGCCAAAGGTCGTCTTGGGGTTGTTTCTGTTTCTTCATCGTCATCGTCACTCTGCTCATCACTTTCATCACTCTCCTCGTCACTTTCGTCATCTTCATCCTCGTCGTCATCATCATCATCATCGCTGCTGTCGTCGTCATCGTCATCACTTTCCTCTTCCTCGTCCTTGTCGGAGACGAGCCCTTTTTTCCCCTTCTCGCTCTCACTGTTGTAGTTAATGCGATCACTTCCCTCCTCATAATCAATTTTCACAATATGTGGTGTAGCATGTGAGCTTTCGTTTCGACTTTGTCCCTCCGGATTTCTTCGGAAAGCTTCGCGCTCTGGTCGATCAAGTGAGTAAGAGTATTTCCTCGGACCTTGTGAATTATTATTGGAATTGAGCAACTTTTTGGTATCCGCATGCTTAGAGTTCTCATTGAGGGTTTCTTTGAACGCACTCAATTGCGAGCCGTAAGAGTGAATTCCAGAGCTTCTGCCATCGGCTTCTGTTCTCTCGTGGATTACGTTTCTTTGTAAAGAATGTCTTTTCCTGTCTTTTTCTTGAAGTTCTTTTTCGAATTTCTTCAAGTTTTCACTTGTTAGCGAGAACGTTTTCACAGTTTTCATGGTGAAGCGTTGTCTCCTTGGTAAAAGATATTGTTCGCTTCAGTCTCTTCAGACCTCAAGTCCTAGTTTCGATACCGCAAGCACCTGTCGCTGAAGAAACGAAGAGAAAGAAAACAACTCATTAACACTGGCTTTTCATAAATGTGAAACATGTGAAATGCACTAATGCCGTGGTAAAAAAAAAACTATTATCAGAAACCGCATTTGAATCATGTGGTCGAAAAACACAAGCTTACCTTGTTACAAGGAGACTTTCCTTAACCGAACATCATCTCTATTGATTACGGCGCCATCTTACTTTGTTTGAAAACTTAAAATAAATTACGCGGTTTTAGCGTCAGAATCCAAGTAGAAAAGTTCCTTTAGAAATAATTTCCTCGATCAGTATTTACAATCCCGACATTTAAGATAGTTATCACAAGATTTTTATCTAATACGTTTAAAAAGCATTAACTTTCCAAAATCCCTGGAGTTCGAACCCAAACATTTCAAAATCTGGTGTTAATTTATTCTTCACTTGAATGAAACAAATGACTATGCAAATACCGATCAAACTGTGCTGAAGGATTGTTTACACTGGCCAAACTAACTGAAGAAACTTAATTTGCTAGCTATGTTCAACAACTGTTTGCTGTGGATATTGCCGAAAAATCCTCTGTGAGTTCTATAGAGGAAGCATGTGTTAGCAATATCGAATTAATTGCAGGGATGTTGTGTTGGACACACAGCATAAACAGTTATAAACACGTTCAGTAATTTACATGGCATGTTTAATTTGCGATCTTAAGCCCCGTCCACACTATGGCGAGGAATTTGAAAACGGATCTTTACTTCTCCGGTTAGGCCTTACGTCTACACTTGTCACGAAAACGGAGCTTTTCGAAAATGCTCTTCAAACCGAAGGAATTTGAAAACGCCGACTTTGCGTTTTAGTGTGGACGGACAACATTTTAAAAACGAAGCTTTTTCAAAACGATAACGTTACGATAATCATGATATACCCTTTCCCCTTTCCTCAACCACAAATCTAAAATGACTTGTCATTGTTGTCTTTTCAAATTCCTCCGGCGTAGTGTGGACAGAAAACATTTGATACGTTTTCAGAGTGAAACCTCTCTTTTCAAATTCCTCAGACGTAGTGTCGACAATGCCTAAGTAACATTATGTAGCACTGTAGAAGGAAATACTTCTGCGCCGAAGAAAGCTGTGTTCCGTACAGTTAAACTCTATCGGTTAGGTAGACTAGAATAAGTTTCATCAACATTTATCCCTAGCTAAGGCCGATTATATCTTGATGCAAAACAATAAAAATAAAATAGCTGCAACTCAGGGTTGGTTTTATGGTTAAGGCACTGGGAAGATACGTTATAATAAGGTAGTGGAGGTAATCTAGGCCTCCTGCATTATATATTTGGAATATTTTGGGGATTGGGACTTATCCGTGATTTGAACATATGTCCTCGTATCCGGTTTTTCATATTCCGTTTTTCCGATTAAGGATGGTATTTTTTCGTTTAATTCACTCAACAGCGTGCAATAAATGTACGTGCGTGATGGAGTGCACGTATGATGTATGTACTTTCTTCGGGGAGGGAAGGGGGGGATTGTCGTCGCCACTTTCAGGCAACTATATCGCATCGCATTTTGTTCTTATAAAGAAAGGATGACCTTAAGGTTGGTATTTCCAGTCTTTCCCAAGCCATTCTTTAGGGAACTGACTACTACAAGAAAATACGTTACGGTTTAGAATACTAACAGGCAAAGGAGTATAAGATAACAAACTTTTATTTTATTAATTTGTATTTTGGCCGATACAAATTAATAAAATAGAAGTCAATATAGACAGAGCTATAGAGAATAAAATTTTTTTGGCAAGAGTTAATGCTACGTCAAAACAAAAGAGTATATTGCGTTAATTTAGAATAAGGATAGCTTAATTTAGAATAAGGTACCTGCTATGTTCTAGCTGGTTCACAGGCAGCCGTTTATTTTATTTTATTTTTTTAGTTATGAGCAAACGAACGCGAGAACGAGCGCAGAGATCGGAAGCGACCGTGAAATAGTCGAAAAGAAGTAAAACAAGTCAACGCAAGTTGTGTTTGAGGCGTCTGCTTTTGGAGATTTCCTATTTTCGGGACTTAAGCGTCGTGAAATTATCCTGGTCAATGATGCAGAACAACGCAGTCTGATTTCATCCAGCTTATGGTGAACGCCTCATATGGAATCAGGGATAACTGTCAATTTTCGCCTTTTATCGGGCTGCAAACTGAAAGTTTTTGAAATTTCCCACTCTAAACCTATGAGTGTTTGCGATAACTAGTACAAAATAGTATAAAGATTTAATGATGCTACCTTACCAAGTCTGCTTTCAGATTACTCAGGAGTCCCTCTAATGACGCCAAATCTTCATGCAGGTTCACGTGAATTCCATGGAAATCTCACAAATGCGAAGGAAATTCATTTACTTTTCGCCAATTCTCGTACATATTGGGAGATTTGAGACGTTTAAATTTGAAAATCCACACGAATTTTATTATCATTTTTGGCTTGTTATGGTTCAATCGGTGGAGCTGTTTTTGAACGTCTGTTTTTTGCGATATCAAAGTTTGCTCGAAATGGCGATCTCCAGGAATTAAATCTCTCGGCTTTAGGGTTTTATTAGGTTGGGAGGGGGAGAAAGTCATGCCACATTTATGACCGTGAGCTAACCGAAAACATTGCGTAAAGTGCTTCTCTCGCCCACCGGTTACTACGATACCGTCAGAAATCTAACCCGAAAGCACTTTGGCGAAAATGTTCATTATTACTTGCAAAAGTTTCATCAACGATTCGACTATTGTCAAAAAATTTACATGTGACTGCTATAAGTGGGATAACATATTTGACGAGAACGCTGCACTTACTTCGAATGGAGCGTTTTTAAACAGCATTTCGGCAAATTCATAATTACGTTTGAAAATTCAGAGTAATTTAAACATATAATAGTTGTTTACATGATATTTCGGTATTTTAGTCCTTTAAAACCTGATAGTCGTTCAACACGAATAATTCACCACGATCTTAGTCATTAAAGAATCTTTTTTTCTAAAAATATTTCTTTCTCAGAGACACTGAATTGTGCCTTACATTTCTAACGAAACCTTGTAAATTTAGATTTTGTCAAAGAACGTTAATTCACGGAAAATAGCATGCATGTCTTTGAATTTCACTTGCATTGAGTAATCGAGATAATGTTCCCTTATTGTATATAAAGACATGAAATAAATAAATTATGATATAAGCCTGTTACAACTGCAAGCCTACTGGCTTAGTAAAATATGGATGTATATTCTTGTAAGGCTTTGCATGTTTAGCCGAGTTTTCGAATTAGACCAGGGTAAAAAACATAACTCTGTAGTTTAAGACTTAGCTGTAACTGCAGTGCTAAAGTTTTAGCAATTGTAGCAAGACTTAGCTCACCATCCGGTATCCTTTCTTTCCCGCCGTTAAAACGTCAAATCCTGTTCTACTCGATTAACAAACATGAATTCTTCTAGTGACACTTTACAAACGTTATAAATAGTATACGAGGCAGCAAGAAAATAATAATTAAAAAAATCTTACCATCAACATGATGTGACAGGAGAATGCAATCTGCCTCTCCTCCAAACAAGGACGACTTTTGGAGGTCGCTTTCTCAGTTGAGCCGGTAACCATGGTGAAAGCTAAGCTATCATAAATGATATATCCACAAAGTCATTAATGCTATGATGTTTGTACATATGCAAATCGTGTAGTTTTTGATAGAAGCCGTTTGAATTGCTTGACTGGCAGGTGCAAGAAAACAGAGCTAGTAAATTGTTGGTCTTCAGTACTAAATTGAAGACTTGATAACAGACATATGCGGGTGGTATACCGTTAGCTGGGTTTGTTCTGCTTTCTTCTTGCGAAACGTTATTTTAAGCGACAGAAGACAACACCGATTTTAACGTGTTTTAATGCGTAAACTCCTTTAAGAATTACAAATGTTTGTAAGCAGTAAAAAAAGAAAAATTTCGGTATTGATCGATTTCTGAACCAAGTCACGTATTGCATATTGAACGCAAGTTAAAGGCGTTGTACGCAAGTGGAATACTGACTGCATTCGTACAATTACATCCATGAATTGGTTCAAACTATATGGCAAACAAAACAAAACACTGGAACATTCCCACTGATTAGCCGCAGGGAGAAGTTTTACTGCAATACCTGCAGTGGCCAGGCTCCCACCAGTTAGAACCAGTTAAGATTCTTATCATTTATATTCAGTTTGCCATATTGTTCGACGTTTATTTGCATAGCGGCTGTCTTTCTCACCGACTTGTAATTCCCCCCAAACTAGAGAGCTTGTTCGCACTTTAGAGATATAGAGTTTAGATGGGGCGTATGTGAAGCCTTTCATGAATTGTCAGAAACTATAATCAACTAAAACCACTCCTTGAAATGTATTATGAGATCAGTACAGATAGGGACTGCAGACATTGTCGCGAACCAGCGGATTCCATAAATCACGCCTTTATTTGCGAACTCAAAGCCTTCCCTCACGAAGTCCCCCATTGCTTCAATTCAATATGGTTTCGACTTCCATGCTGTACAATCCTAGTGCTAGACAAAACGTTCAAATACACTCTTCTTTTTAAGAACATTCTATGTGCAGCCAGGTAAACTTGACAACAGATCACTTTCACTAACCGACTTTCAGTTACTAAGAGAACAAATTTTAAATACAAAGTTAAAACCCCAGTACACCATGACTTACGAACACGGCCTATCGTCCTTCTCAAAATTATAGATGACAAGAAACTCAGTATACCCGCCCCCTGGAGGGACTTCCATATATATAAAGGACGGGGGTGCTCGTCAGAAATTTTCAAAGAACCCTAAGAGGTACCAAGATCCAGCTGTTTTGTGGGCGTCCCTTGAAATTTTTAATTTTCACCCCTAAGAGGTACAAATTCTGAGACAAAATTAAAAATCAATTGATTTTGAAACATCTCCTGTCATATTTTTTTTCGGCTCAATACCCTGAAAGGCATCAAAATCGCTTTTTAACCTCTGAAAGCGGATACGATGAGCTCCCCCGTCCGTTTTATTCAGGAGTCCCCTCGGGGAACCCGCCATTTTTGAAACCAGCACTAGAGAAGCACATCGAGTTGTGACCAGTACATTTTGGCGCCTTTTGATTGCACTTAAGTACACTTGCACTATTCATTTTCCCTGGTTTATTTGAAATGTCAGTCATTCATATTTCTTTCACGTACATAATCAGGATTGTCTAGAAATTTGCAATACTTTATTTAGCAAGTAGTTTGAACTCAGGAGTATCAGAACTCTTACATCAATGCGTGACAAACATCGCGGTCTCCGTGACTCTGAAGATAACTATCGAAACGTCAGTCACCAACAACTGACAGTCTCTTCAGAACTACCTTCTCAGGGAGAAATCTGTAGTTTATAGGAAAATTTCTGCCTTTTAGATCAGTGACTGCGGAATAACAGAGTTCATGGTCAGTACATCTGAAGATGTAATACTGTAGCTAGACCTGCAGTGGTGCCTTTCAGAAAATTTAAAATCTCTCATACTCGTGTCGCTTTTAACAAAACCATGGAAAAGTATAGAAGAACCATAAAGCTAATGAAATGTAGAATCCGAAAAATACTAAATTCGTTTTTAAAGATTTGTGTATTGATGAGCCCACGTAAACCTTAAAACGCAGAACTGACAATGTTTCTAACTGAATTATACCTGCCTCGTAGTACCACGTACGACTTAACAAACTGTACCATGGACTGTTTGCACTGGTACGGCGACCTTATCAAAACGCACTTTGCAA